CTGCGTTCCTATTGGCCCTCTAGTCTTGGCATTAGAGCCCAAGCTCTGTGAGAAAATTCTCACAGGCGTGAGAAAACGAAGGAAGGCCTCCTTCTTCTCCCTACTGCGCGCTAGCGCCTTAGCTGCAGGTGTTAAAAGTGCTGTTAGTCGATTCCTCGTGGTCGGTTCTCCTAGATAGCGTGCTTTCCTAGCGGTTTCCAGAAAACTCGAAGTTGGTGTTGCAATAGAACATAACTAAGGCAGAGATCAATGATCTTGTGGAAGAAAATCCAGATGTTAGCTGGCCAACAGTCCCTGGCGATGTTCTAGCATCGATATTTGATCGTGTCAATGCGCAACTGAGGGCTGAGAACATCCCTGAGGTGCAATACGACGTATTCAGCTGGCGGATGGCGCGTGCTATCTCATATCGAAACACCTGTACGTGATACAGCATCTCTGCACGTCTTAACACTGTCTAACAGGGGTGTCCACAGCCAATAGCAAACCTAGGGCAAAGAGCGCCACAGCATCGGCTACTAAATCTAGTTAGTCTAGGCTAGGATGCTGCTTCCGGAGGGATGCGGGCGCTACGCAGTCCAGCGTTGAAATGCTAAGATATGCGCTCTGCAAGGTTTCAAGCTTAGATATTTAGTAACAAGCAATCTTGCCTAAAGCAGCTAGGTTTATGTAAATGAACGCGTATTGCATACCTCCCCTTCACGTAATTTGTGGATAGTGATAGGTAACGATCATCAGGTAATGCCGCGGAACGGGCATTGTGGGCCGGAAACGTATCACTAGACCGGCATCCTGCATTGATTGTCGCACCTACTCACTTTAGCTACGTATCTGCGTTGCCATGTTATAGTTAGATGCAAAGACGGCCCTACAACTTGGGACATAGAACAATGTAGGAACAAGCGCGTTGATAGGGACATACAGAAAACTACGGTAAAGACAGGCTAGTTACAAAGGAAAACTCAGAGAACAAGAAGAAGATCATGCGGTAGTTTCGACCCAATCCTCTAGTAGACCACAGCGTTCGATAGTAACTGTTCCATCCAACAAAGAATCATATGTGACGCCAAACTCGTAATCTTTCTCAGGCTGAGAGATCCTACACAAGTACGTATTCCATGAGGCCACTTTGTTAAAGACAGAGATAAGCTTTCCATTGTATTCCTCCTCTTTTGTGGTTATGCGAACTTCCTCGTTCAAAAACGTAGTGAGATTCCATGCCCACCAATGCTCTAGAGAGCTTGCTTTCGTCATATCCCCGTACTTGGAAGTGGCCTGTTTCTTGAAATGTGACAAAACCTCTCTACCGATAAGGGATGTTATACCATCATCATTCAATAATTTTACGTTAACCTAGCTTGCAAATTGGAGTATGTTGATCTTCCTTAGGTGTGGGAAAGGCAAATGAGTAGACTGGTCGTCAAAAATGCTATATTGCGCAGGTGTGAGCTCGACTGTTGCGTGACAACTGTCGATAGAAAGATTACCAGACCATAGAGCATCAAGATCGGCTTTTCTGATAGTCCAATTTGCATAGGCGTCTGAAGACGGGCCAAGTTCTGTAGGCGGAGGTGGAGGTGGAGGCGGAGGCGGAGGCGGAGCCCGAGCTGGAGGAGGTGGAGGAGGTGGAGGAGGCGGTGACGGCGGAGGGGCTGTGTGTGAAAGTTTCACACAGTGGGGGCAATGCGTACAAGACCCAGTAGACTTCCAGGCAAGATTTGGATAGTCGAAAAATCTAGTAATACGGTTACTGAAAGCTTAACGGAGGCCTAGGTAAATTCAAGCGACTACTGACTTTGCCAGAATGGCAGCTGTTTGGACAGCGAGAAGAAAGCAGCACAACTCTGGCCACATGATGTATACACAGCTCGTAGGGGAAAGCCAAATTATTGTAAGTGGGTGGGATCAGGATGAAGAGACAGGAGATATGGGAGAACATTGTTGATTTATAAAACAGGATCGGGCTCCGCAAGGCAGACAGACACTGCATCCGTGCCACGCCTGTCAACTGACAGAGCAAGCTAATGCACCAATGCAGCCCCTTCGGCATTGTGAGTGGCAAAAATGAATGGATATCCCTGTAGGTGTGCGCCACGATACTCCGCCCCCAAAGATGGGTGAGCAAGACACTCCTCAGTGGCACACATATCCCCCCAATCTATCGCCAGAAGGGCCGATCACTATGCTTGATAACAGGACCCAGCAAATCGAGAATGGAACAACTCAATGTATTGAATATGGCGAGTTTGCTTACACGCAGTGGTCTGGATCACTAGCATTGCCCTTGATCTTGCGTTGCCCCCACCATAGTCGCTCCACTGCTCGAACACGGTTTGATCCACCACCCCAGCGGAAGCGGCTAAAAGCGCATTTTGTATTCAAGTTTAGAATCCATTTAGAAACAGCTAATTTAACAATGTCCGCTATTTTCAAGTAGCTATGTGCAAGTCTTGGATGAAGTAAACTCAATATCTTGATATCGTCAGTGATAGCATAGGTTGAACCTGATTCTCTTACCATGAATGAACTTTAAGCGACTTTTCCTATCGTCTCGTTTTCGCAGATAATATTAGCAATTGCTACAGCAAGAGCTGCACATAGTAATAATGTGAAGACGTAGTAGTATCGGCCAAGCCAAGTTGCTGAATCCTTAGGCAACCCTATAAAGTATACGTATGTTGAAAAAGAAATAGATAACAAAAGAAGAATGACAAAGGGGCTCTGATTCTTTGCGGCCACAGCTATGCCACCGAGACATAGGGATACGCACGCAAGCCGAGCGATCCACCAATAGCCAGAGACTGGTGGTGGGTCATTGCTGTTACCAACAAGTTGAGCTTGACTGATTGTCTTGTTGCCGAGCTAAGCGTGTATAATGGCCTAGATGCATTGGGTTAAGGTTGTATCACAGTTGTGGGGTTGTGTCTTACCTAGTCATGGTAGAGGAGGGTACCCAAAGTGAAAACATGCGCTTGCAGCGCGTCTGCAGTGTGGCCCTCAGAAGCGAACGCGATCGATGCAATGCAAGGAAACAGGGGTGCGAGAACTCCGAGGTACCCGACGATCGCAAGTAATACGAATCTGTCTGTGACGAGTCGTTCGGTAAGTAAAAAACG